CCCATTCTCCTCGCCAGCTGCGGGAGGCTGCTCTCTCCTCCTCCTCGGATTGCCTTCCCCTCCTTCCCTCCCTCCCCCACTCCCGCGCCGCCCGCCCTCCTCCTCGCCCTCCTCCCCTCCCGCAACCTGCAGGGGGTGGCGACCTGGCCCTCGCGCAATCTGAGGCTAGCGGTATGGGGGACCGCGGGCCTGACTGGGGTGGCAGGGATTGTCCCTGACCCGGAAGAAGCTTGGCTTGCCTGAAGGAGGGAGGATTAATGACAAAGACAGCCCCGTCCTTTCCCATTCAATCGAGCCCTGGGAGACGTGCCTAGTCTGAAAGAGACAAATGGGGGGAAGGGTGTGTGTGTGTGTGTGTGTGTGTGTGTGTGTGTGTGTGTGTGTGTGTGTGTGTGTTTAGGGATGGGGGACTCCAGCGACAAAACACAGGCAGAATCACCCTCAATAGATTTCTTAGAAACCAAAAAGAAAGGTGCGGCGGGGAGCAAAGAGCACAGGCACAAGCCATAGCTTCTCGTTCTTTGCAATAAGACATTAGTATTTTTAAGGGGGCAGGGCCTCTTTTATGTGGATCCAGGTTGTTCTGAGGTGTGTCTCCGTGTGTGGCCGCCCGGGCGCCCATTTCAGCGTGTGAGGCGTTGTACTCCAGAAGCCTCCGTGTGCTGACACCTCGGTGTGCAGAGACAGCTGTGTAGAATGAGTCACAGATATCAGAGATGGAAAACACCTGTTACTGTTGGTCATTAGGCTGCTTGGCGTGCATGCGTTCTAGTTTCCATTTACAGGACAGTTGAGTGCCTTTCCTCGGGATGCCACTCCTTACTTCATTCATTCTTACAGTCAGCCCTGAGTGTCGGCTGTCTGCTGAGGATTTGCTGAGACCAAGGGGCAAAGATAGGCAAGTGACTGCCCTGCTCTCAATTAACTCCCAGTCTCCTGGGGGAGAGACACCACCCACCCTTAGAATCACTCTACCGGTATTCCCAGGGAGGAACAGAAAGAGCTGTGGAGCTCCGTAGGGGAGGGAGGGTTGACTGTGTAAGCAGTGGTGGATGGAGGAAATGGCTTTATGGAGGAAATGGCATTCGAGGGCTTTGAAGATGAGTAGCAGAATTTGGGCATGAAGAAATAGAAGGAGGAAATAGAGAAGTCACGATGTTCGAAATCTCCAGTGTTTAGGGCATCGTGGTTTGATTTTGTGGCCCAATCAGAAGTAGTAGGAAATGATTGGGTTAGATTATGGAGGCATTTGGACAGAGAGTATGGATTTGATTTTGTAAACAGCGGAGAAGCCTGACCTATTTTTTAGTGCTTCCCCTCTCTTATGATGCTGAAAAAAAGTATATATATTCTAGAGCAGTGGTTTTCAAAGTAGGGTTTCCAGATCTGCAGCATCAGCGTCACCTGGAAAACTGTTAGAAATGTAAATTTGAGGTCCCCACTTCAGATCTATTAAAATCAGAAATCCTAGAGGTGGTGTCCAGCACCTGTGCTTTAACAAACCCTCTGGTTGGTTCAGATGCACACTCAAGTTTGAGAACCCCTGCTCCAAAACCTTGCTACTCAAAAAGTGTGGGCCTTGGGCCAGTAGCATGAGCATCACCCAGGAGCTTGTTAGAGATTCAGAATCTGTTAAATCCCAGACCTACTGACTCAGACTCTGCATTTTAACAAGATCACCAAGTGGTTCCTATACTTATCAGAATGTGAGAAGCACTGCTCTCAAGGATTTTCGAAGCACAGAAATGAATAATTTCCCACTCGACACCATCCCCCAGGTATAGTCTTTGTTAATATTTGTATGTATTTGCTACTAGTTTTCAATACAGCTGTATTTGCATAAAGTTCTCTTTTAACAAACATGAGTAGTATGAGATGATATATTACAGTTTCCTGCTCTTTTTTACTTTACATTATATGTGATTAGTCTTTTAAAGCCTCATTTTTAATGGCTTCATAATATTCATTTTATGTCTGTATCATAGTGTACTTAACCATTTTTCTATGGTCAGATAGATTGATTCCAATTATTAGCTATTACATAGAATATTGAGATAATAAAAATAATAGATACCATTTATATATAGTGCTTACTTAGTGCCAGGTGCTGGGGTAAGCACTTTACATATGATAATTAATTTAATCCTCATAACAACCCAGTGAAATAGGCACTATTATTATCCTCATTTTAGATACCAGGTGACAGAGAATTGCCCAAGATCACACCGTAGTAAGTAGTGGAGCTGGGATCTAAATTCAAGCAAACTGGTTTCAGAATTTATGCTCTTAACCATATACTTAAGTTTTTGTCCTAATTTATTTTTCCTTACAAGAAATTATAATGTCAATTTTTAAAAATGTCTTGTAACACATTGTCAGTTCGCTTTTTTAGAAAGGTTGACTAACTTATGCTCCCACCAGCAATGTACTAGTTTCTCAACATCCTTGCCAACATTGAGGGTTAAACTTTAAAAAATATTTACTAGTTTAATAAATGAGAACTTTATATTGAAAGGACTGGAATCACTTTAGTTATAATTTTCACATGTATAATTGCCACTTATATAGTACTAAGGGCCTTTACTTGAACATAATCTTAATGTACTAAATTATACCTTATCTGTTACAGCACCTTTTCTGAGTGCTTGAACATCTTTAATTGCATTTAATCCTCACCCTAGCCCCAGAGAAGGAAAAGGATTCTTTACTCACACAGTGGTTTCTGACCACTGAGATGTATTTGTTCAGTGGTTAAGAGGCTTTGGATTCAGGTAGATGTGGGCTAAAATTCTACCTTTGCTGTTTCCTGGGCAAGTTATTCAACTTCTGAAAACTTCACATTTCCTCACTCATTAAATTGGGATGCTACTTCATAGAGTTGTGAAGCACACTGCACGTGCTTAACAGACAGTAACTTTAATCATTATTCATTAAATCCTGTCATTACTAGATCCCATAAAAATGTTATGGCAGACTCTAGTTAACCCATATTTGCCAACCCCTGGCCCTTTTTACTTTAAGGTATTGTGTCAGGTAGTGGAAAGAGAAGGTACTGGGGGTTAGATGCTCTGAGTTTTTATTGTTAACTTCCTACTCAGGTAGAAAGAGCTACTGAAGGCAAATACTGGACAAAGATCCAGGCCTGAGATTTGGCTACTATCGGAAATAAGATGTGAATTGGGTCATGATGGTCACAGTTGTTTAAAGGTGAGAAATACTGATGTGCCAAATTGCTTTTTGTTTTCCTGCTGTGTCCTGGCTCAATGGTAGAGTATCTCATTCTTATAATTTGGGTTCAAGAACAGGTCTGCAAGAGACATGTAATCCACATGGTACTGTCCTGTGTATGAAACAGAGCTCAACACAAGAGCTCAAAACTAGCATGGATGAAGGAAAGCATGAGTGAGGAAGGGAGGGAATATTATGGGCGGAGGGATAGAGTGAGAGACTTACTATGCCCATCTGTCCCACTCGACAGAACTATGTGTGTATGTCTAGAACTGTTTTGTTTGCTTGTTTTCAGTATGTTTCTGTCTCTGTCTAAGCCACTCATTGGTAAATGTGTGCTGGTTTCTCAGAAATTGTCTCCTCCCTTCACATGGAATTAAATAGGTGCCAAAGAGAATTTCTCAAACATCCTGTCATTAACCGTTGACCATATTCAGAGCACTATTTTAGGAAGTGAGCAAAGATTCAAATGACAGACAATTTGGGCATGGATTTAGGATTCAGAAACTCAGTGCTTCTCAAACTTTACAGTGCATATGAATTCCCAGGAAATGTTATTAAAATGCAATTCCCTGGTTCCATTAATCTAGGATAGGGTCCAAAGTCGTGCATTTCTAACAAGCTACCAGGTATTGCTGATATTGCTAGTCCATGGCCCACACTTTAAGAAGCAAATATTTAGATGAAAAGGATATTCCATCTCTTCTCTTCTCTCCTGGCCTTTGCCTTCTCTCAAAGAGGATTTGTTTATAGATTGGTCAGATTTCAGGAAATTCATTGGCCCACATTTATAGGGCAGGGGGGATGAACATCCATGCAGCTTTCTCTTCTACCTTACACAGTTGGAATAGGTATGCCGAACCAGGGCCTACTCTTGGGAGCTGGTCATCTCATTTTCTCTTCCTCAAATGCATCACTGAACATACTTTTTATTGCTACTACTTCTGGTCCAAATGTGGTAGGACAGAGGGTAGGTAGATTTTGGTGTGTGGAGGGGAGGGAAAGGCTCTGTGGCTCTTTACTGCTTCAACCTTGTCTTTACAAGGTAGCTTTGCACTAAAAACTGGGCATCTATTCAGATGAAAATAAAGTTGTATTTTGACTCTTATCTTTTGATGGCCTGTGAATATATTGCTTGCTCATGAACCTCGCAGGGGAGAAAGGTGATTGAGCCAGGAGGATTTCTAGGACTCATGTTCCTTTAGCCCAATGTCACCAAAACCTCTCCCTTCATTCCTCACGGGCAAGCACTGGGCACAGGCCAATTAATCCTGTGGATGAGCATACCACTAATGGAATAACTCATTACTGCTGAGCTATGCTGGGAGATTTCTTAGGGGAGATGTATGTGGAGCTATTTTGATGGAAAGAACTTGGTGTGGCACACAGCAGAAGGCACAGTGCTCCTGATGGCTTTCTGGGTCTCAAGCTCCGTATCTACCCTGGATTCTGACCTTGTTTCTGCTTCTCTGAGTCCCCACCTTTCTCACTGCCTACT